TGATAATTTATTTATATTATTAATATGTCGAATTATTTGTTTTTTAGATGAATGTTACATGAGTGACATTATGCCAAATAAATATTTTTTAACTAGTGTAAAGTCAAGGTATATTTCAATAACTCTTATAATGAAAAAGCAGATACTTTAGCCAAAGAAGTTCTAAAACTTTTACCAATCGAATGAAGAGATCTTAACTTCCACAAGATCATTACAGAAATTAGGTGGCAAAACAAGATCTTAAATAATTCAATTAGGCAGTTTATCAAAAAATATGAACAACAAAACAATAGCCTATTAATAGACTCAGCAAAATTGAATGGAGAAAAAATAGAGTCATTAGATTTTAGAACAGCAAAACTATATATAGAATCTAGTGTAGGAAAGAATAAAAGATAGTTATATATGGAATACATTCTTTAAAAAATTTAAAAAAAAAGCTTTCTCATCAAACTAATTAATAATGAGCTACCAATATTATATAAATTGACTATAAGAAGATCCAATCTATATAAGCAAGTGAAGTATATTATATGTAGTCAATAGAATGAAATAATAGAACACTTGCTAGAATGTCCAGCTTATAAGAATTAACTTCAAGAAGTATGGAATAAAGAAATAGATGAAACTCTCAGAAGCTTTAAAAAGCTTTTACAAGAAAAAAAAAAGAAGGTTGAGAAAAAAAGTAATAGACAAAATATTGATAATTAGAAAGAACTAGAAAATTTTGACAAATGGATTTCTAAACTAGTGGTACAGATATCTACAACTAGTCAAGATACTTCAAGTTTTTGTACTGATCTTATAAGAAAGAATCTCATTCTAGAAATGGCAGATCTAAAATGTCATAGCAAACATATAGGAAAAGAAACCAGAAATTGAATAATAAAGATGCAAAAAAAAGTTTGTAATCAAGTTCAAAAAAAAAATTTGAAATACAAAATATGAAAAAATTATAAAATGGAAACAAACTTAGGGAATCAGTAGAAAAAACAAGATAAAAAAAGATTTTCAATTTTTTTAGATCAGAAAACTATATTCTTAACAAGAAAAAAACTACTATCAAAAGAAGGAAAACTAGAAGATAAAGGTCTCAAAAAGATTCTTATAAAAGGAGTGAAGTACAAAATGAAGTGATTGATATTCAAAGCCTAGTTAAAACATTAAAAAGTGATTTGCAGTAGTGATCTGCAGGCAATAAAGTTAGCAGTTGGAAGGGTTTATACCTAAATTACTGATAGAATGATAAATTACTCTTGAAATTGTACTTAGAGTTTTAAGAAATTTAAAATAGAGATAAGTGAGTTAGATAAAGATTTAGTTTTAATAAAATATTTAATAATATAAAGTATATAAATATTTAATAAAGCATATATACCCAACTTGACTTAGAGCAAAAAAAAAAAAGAATTTTTGAATATACAGTATAGTATATTTTAATTTGTGTATTATTCAATACTATTAATATATGTTTTGTTCATATTTAGAAATTTTGTTAAGTTATAATTTTTCATGATTAAAATATTATTGATTTTCTTGTTATTTAGTTTAAATTTTAAAAATATAACTTTTAATATTTTTATATTAATTATAGTTATTTATTTAGTTTTTGGATAAAGTTGAGATATTTATACTATTTAATATAGATCTTAATTTAGAGCTTTATGTTTATCTTAACTTTATCTTTTATTTTTTCTAAAATATTAGCAATTATTATATTTAATTTATAGGTTGGTTTTTTTAATAAAATATAAATTTATTAATAAAATCAAATCTCTATTTCTGATAATACATAAGCTATGTTTACTAATACAATGGGTTTTAATTTTTTTTTTTGAAGCCTTTGTAATTCAATTATCTCTTGTTCTTAGATATATACAGTATTATTATAATTTTATTATTTATTATTAGTTTTACATCTATAAAATGGAACGATTAAATATTAATAATGGTTTTGAAAAGGGAATTGCATTTCTTTTTTTTTTTTTGTACTCCTATTATTTGCAATAAAATCAATGCTAAATTGTTTAAAAAATAAAATAAAATAAAATAAAAAATAAAGATGAATGATTGCAATAAAAAAATCAAAGCAAGTTTATTGGAATTTAAACTGAATTATATAAGGATGCTTTGCTATGGTTTTAATAAAAGCCATTATGGGTTTATTGATGTTATTCACTCATTATTTTAACATATGAGATCGAAATAATATCGAAAGATACCGGTTAAATGATTTATTTAAATATGTATAAAAGTAACTATTTATCCCGACATTAATACAGTATATACAAATTTATTAATTGCCACCACGTCTATTGTTATTATATCCACCTCCTCTATAATAATTATTTCCACCACCACGACCGCCTCGGTAATTATATCCCCTACCTCTTTCACCTCGATTACCATGACGATGAAATTCCCTCTTAGATTCGTTATCCCTCCTTGCTCTCTCACCGGCATGGAAAGACAAATTCTGCGCGAATCCGTGTATTTGTAATGTCTTATCGTTCGGTCTCCAACTTGGGGGCGCGGGTACACTAGGTTCAAATTTCCTTCTAAGGAAATACACCTCGTTAACCGTGTAGGGCATCTGGTGATATCCACTTTTCCCACTATCCACAATAGCATTCCTTAATAATTTCAAAACAATTGGCTCCCAATCCTTTTCGGGCAATTCAAAATCTATCATTTTGAAAAAAACATCCCACGTATTCACTTGGTAAATTTGTTTAATAAGTTGAAGCAAGGAATTACTCATTTCCTCAGTAGGGTAACCGTATCGGCGATCCATGTCATTTCGTGTGTCTCGGGTCATTTTCAAGAAGGCCACCTGGAACATCACTAATCTCAATGAAACCTTGCTCAACTCGAATGTCTCTGATAGTCTGTAATTTGAGATAAATTGTTCGGGTTCTAAATATGCAAGACTCGCGTTACTATTTAAGAACCAAACCACATTGCGCGATAATAGTTCCTCTAAGAAGCAAGGACAAAACCTTGACCACGAGATATTTTTGCACATGAATAAGTAGGCTATGAACTCTCCCAAGTTTGGTGTGACGGTTTTGTTTCTTGAGCGATTATTCTGGTTTTTTATGAACCCCTCCACCTTGTTTTCAGCCTCCTCGATGACTTCCGGGTACTTCTCAGAAAGCATTGTCAGCAGGTGAAGCAATAAACAATAGCCTTGTAGCGCTTTTTCGGAGGCTCTTAATGCATAACTTGATCTTTCCCCGCTGTCGTCACACGTTTTCATTAAACTAACAACTGCTGTATTCATCAATCCTGGAATTGTCTTTAGAATCACCTTTGGATTCCACGCACCAAAACTCCGTAACTCCACCAAGGTTCTCTGGATAATTGGTAATGCTCTGTTGAAATGAGAAAGATTCAGGGCAACTGGGAGGAAATGTGTGAACGAATCTCCCCATATTCCGTTCCTTAAATGGTGACTGTTGAATGATTCATAGGAAAAGAGATCAAATTCATTGATAATTAACTCCCTTTTTTCCACATCACGATTATTTCCGACACGGATTCCGATGCCAAGAATACTCTCGGTGAATGTCTTTCGTAGATAGAAGCAGACCAACTGTCGACGCAGGAGAATATTGAAAAAGTGAACCAAGGTGTGGATACGTGGATAGACACTAGATAGAACAAATATGTCGCGCTCATTCAGAAATTCTATAATGTGCAACCAGCAATCGTCGGTTAACTTGTCCACCGTTGCGTTAGGAGTAATACTGGGGATTATATTATCAAAATTTTGAGTGCTATTGATGGGATTTCCGCAAATATCCAGCTCTTCAATTTCCGCTTGAGTGGGCGTCACATTAATTGAATCATTGAAGCCGCACTTATTGCATTTATAATTTGTTACCGAATTTCGCATCTCATTTTTATGCACCGAATCCTCCAGATATGCTATATCATATTTATGTCCACCCGTTTGTTCGACTCTGGTATCCGAGAAGAAACTCAGTAACTGTAAAAAAATATATTTTAACAAGTATCCAGGTGTATAACCGCCGTTGTAACCTCTCGAGCTTCTGAATTGTGTTTCGTCCCCATGGGCCTGCAAAATGTCAGCGCAGATGAAATTACCAAATACGTTTGGATGTTGCACTGGGGTTTGTATGGTGATTTGGGGGGCCAGCCGAGGGTATTCTTCGGGTATGCACACGGAAAGATGCAATCGGAGACCGTTGAAAGGACCTTGCAAAGGAGTAAGAATTAAACACATAGAGGTGATGTCTTCGTGAAGAATAACATCGATGCCTTTCATAGATTCATTGTGCAACTCTACTAGTTCACGTCTCAATCTTGGTAAACGAGCTTGGGACATAGCAATGTTAATTTTAGTCGCCAAGGGAATGTTGGAATAGTTTGGATGATAAAAATGTGATAGTTTATATAATTGTTAGTGAGTGGCCCATTATTCTGCGCCCTTAATTTATGTAGTTACGTATTACTATATATTCTACCGCGCCCAGAAAGTGCTGTGCATAATAAGACGTTACTCCGTCTGCGGAATTATTTTTAAGTCCGATTATAATGCACAATTAGGGACTAATTTTTTGTGCTACCAGGTTAATGTGAAACATGAGTTGTCCCACACTATACATTGATATAGCGGATTTTGAATTCAAATATGCAGTCCTTTATCGGATTTTAAAAAGATACCATTTCATGGCATATTTACAAAAAATTCGGCTTCAAAATTCGAATTGCAACTTCATATGAAAGGCGCATTAAACTATGTATATTATAGTTCGTAAGTTTTCACGGCCATTTGAATTGCATATTTATATCAACGGTGCATTGTCGATCATTCTTTTTTTGAAAAAGTAAATTAATTAACCATATTACCGATTGTCGACTTTACAGATTGTGGGTTTTCACGAGATACAGTATTTTGAAATTTGAATCCATGCGATAAGTGCAATTAATTATATTATCGATTGCGACTTCATAAGGATTGCTGTAAGTTTTCACGGCGCACTTTCAAAAATTTGAATCGCAAATACATTAGGATACATAAAGCGCATCAACCATATTATCGATTGTTGACTTCGTAAGAGGCAAGTTTTCATGGCATAGTTTAAAATTTTAAATCACAAATTCATGCAAAAGCGTATTAACTATTGTAAATGATAAGTAGATAGATAATATTAGAACACATAATTTTATTGATAATAAACTATATACTGTATCATTTAATATTGTTTAACGATATTTAAAATTAAAAAAATTCTTATTATATTATTTTTAAAATTAAATATTATTAAATATTATTAATATTATTTTTCACTAATCTTCTAAAAGAAATAATTATAATAACAAGTTTTCTAAATATTTTAATTAATAATTTGTCTTGATTTCTAACAATTCTAAAAAATCAGATAATAAATACTTTTGGTGCATATAACAAAAAAGTTTTTTAAAATTTTTTTGACTTTTTTATCTAATAAAAAATTATCACAAAAATTTTTTTTAATAATTAAAAAATTTTTTAATATAAAGATTTTAAGTTTTTCTTAATAAAAAACAATAAGTTTTTTATTTCTCTTTAATTTTATAGTATTTTACTTTTTTATAACTTTTTGAAAAATTTTATTTACTTAAACTTAATTTAATATTTTTGACAATACAAATTTTTTAAACAACGATTGCTTAATATAAAATATATTATATTAATTATATTTATAGCTTTAGATAATAATAATAATAATAATAATAATAAAAGATTATAAAAATTTTTGAATCAAACAAGTTTTATTTATAAAAAAAAATTATAATATTAAATATTAAAAGATAAGTATCTGATCTATTTGTAAAAGTTTACTTTTATTATTCCGTCAAGATTCTAAATAATAAAAAGATTAATTTAAATAATATTAAAAATTTTTTATTTTTATTATTTTAATTAAACAAAGTTTTTAAAATTGAATTTGTATTCCTTAAATAGTTATAAAAAAAAATTTTTTTAAATTGAAAATAAAAAAATTTTTTAAAACAAAAATAATTTTTTTAATTAAGTGATTATTTTAATAAATATAATAAAAGCAAATTTTTAAAAATTTTGAATTATATATTTTTTTAATCATTTGATTTCAATTTTTTGGTTTTTATTTTTTTATAATCAAGAATAAAGAGTTATTGTTAATAATTTTTGAATTAAAGAATTAAAATTTAATATTTAAAAATCAATAAATATATTGTTTTTCAAATTAAATTTAAAGTTTTTAGTTTAAATCTAATTTTGTTTGATTCAAACTAATACAATAAATTTATTTATATTTTTTAAATAATTTGATTTATTAATTAATAATATATGAAAATAAATTAATTGCCATATAATTTTTATATGATATCAATGATTATTATTGTTTAATAATAATTGATCAATAACAATATAGTTGTAAATTAATAAATAAAAATAAAATCATAATATTAAATAATATTTGAAATTTAATAATTTTATTAATAAAAAAAATAATAACATAACAATATTTAATAAATTATTAAGAATTTCAAATAATTATAAATGTTTAAATATAAATAAAATGATTTTTATTTTTTATTTTTATTTTTTTTAAAAAAAATTTAAGTTTTAAGTAATAAAACAAATTATATAATTCATAATTAAATTAAAAAATAATAAATAAAACATGCTTCAAGTTATTAATAAAAATATTTTTAAATCAATAATAAATTTTTTTTAAATAATAGACTGCCATCATTTTATGATATTATTTTTTAAATTGTTGAAAATTTTAAAAAATATATATTAAAAAAAAATTTTTTTTCTAAATTTATATATGAAAAAAAAAATAATCTGCAACTATTTATAAAAAAAATTCAAATGCATAGAAGTAAAAAATAGATAATTGATTTTATAAATTAAAATTTAAAAAATGATTTAATAAATAATATATTATATTTGTCAATTTTTGCTAATAAAATAATATAGAATATTATATTTTAAACAATATTCAATTTAGTAACAGATTATGATACAATTAGCGTGTATTGTGACGTCATCTATTTGCCAATTTTTTGTTTTGATTTTTTTTGATAGCCAAAAATAAGTATAAATATAATCTCTCTAATTAAGAAAATTTCACCTTCATATTGCCTATTACTTTATTTCAAAATCACGTTACTCGACCCGTTTTACTGCAGTTAATCTCTATTCCAGTGCTCAATTGGTAATGCATTGATGGATTATTTTGATTTGGGGGGGGCTGGAAATTATCCACGATGGACCTTTCATCGGGTCTTCACGACAATCAGTCACATGATCAGAGCGAACGATTGTCACTGCATCAAAGATCGTTTATCATGTTAATCGCAAAATATTAATCTAATAGGTTGAAGAGGGGCATTCTGTACTGTTAGACAAGAGTTCTCGCTCCCTCCGAAAAAATTAAAGGTGAGAATCGATTTCATCGTACCTTATTACATACGGTATATAAAATTTTATTCATCATCAACAATTCGTTAGTTCAAGAGGTGAAAGTGATGTCGGCATTTCCAAATGAGATTCTACAAAATATCCTTAAGGAGCTCTTTCACCACAGCACACCGTTTCAGCTTTGTTATCGTGATTTGTACAATTGCATGTTGGTTGATCGTCGGTGGTGTTCACTCGCCGTTCCAATTTTGTGGACCGATCCATTAAGACGCTTGGATGTTCGCAGTAAACCTTGTAATCTCATCATTAAAACCTATCTATCATTCTTGGACGAATCGGAAATAGATAAAGTGAATAATACGCTCGGTCCAATGAGTTTACCGAATAATCTGATCTTCAATTATCCATCATTCCTTAAAATTCTCGATCTGAATGCCTTAGACATGGCCATCTCTCGATTCATTTGTTCGCTCGAGATCAAAAAGAAAAGAGAATCGCTATATTTGAGGATTTTCTTATTGCGCGCGATAATTAAAATTTTGGTGAACCAAAGCACAAACTTGAGAGGACTTTTGATCGCTGTTCACTACCCAGTGTGTGAAATTCTACCATTGCTCAATTATGGTAAACTTCGATCGTTGATAGAACCTATTAGGCGGATGAAATTTGAGATCATCGATAACGAAGATCACAATCTTTCGTCGTTGGCAGAGAGCGTTCACAATCTGGTGAGTGATTGATTACCTCTTCTGAAGTTCGAAAGATCACGTGGAATCTAGAAACCTTACGTCATTGCCATTAGGAGTATCTCGAGTTGTGGCAGAAAACCAGTCAATTAATCAACCGAAAAGAAATCATCACCAACATAATCTCTTTATTACACGCTCAGCACCAATTAACCAGTCTGAAAATCGGAGGATTTTCCAAAGGCATCTTTCAGATCATTTCCTTTCTGCCTACTCTCTCTCCCACCTTATCCACAATTCATTTTTCCCACATTAATTTCGCCGAATGCGGACCTCTGAGTGGATTGGCTGCTTGTGAAAATCTCCGAAAACTGGGATTTTATTGTTGTGAAAATTTGACGCGTGAAATGTGGAATCCACTTATGAATGCACCGATGAGCGCACTAGTGGAAGTGATTTTGTATGATACCCAAGGGGAATGGATGAAGGAGTGGAACAAAAGAGGATGCGTTAAGATTTTGGAAGATTTAATTTAAACGTGCATGATTATATCATATCATTACATTGGCCATCGCCTGTCCGAAGCGTAACGCGGGGTCTTGGTCATGCTGCTTCTCTTGACTCTTTGTGACAAAGGTGAATTCCAAGAAAAAGATGCAATGATGCCATTATTTATGTTCAAGAAAAGGTAATGTGGAGAAAAGTTTTAATAAAAATAAAAAAAATAAAAAAAACTATTTAAACCAAGTTTCTTACGAACAATATACAGCATATGAAATGACTATTCATAAATATAATGCACAGGTTAAGATGTAATGTAATTTTTATGAACTCAAGCATTTTTATCAACACAAGCTTGAAGCATGACTTTTGTTTTTTGAATGTCCCGAGACACTATGTCTACTTCGCAAAGCTACATTTCTCATTGAAAATGCCCTAGCAATACTTTACCATCATGTATTTTTTGGAGTTGTGATATATAAGGATCTCATTTGGATTCTTTATTTACAACGGTGCAAGAAAATTGTATACATTTTTCGAGTGTCACACAGACTGAAAAAAGACTCTTAGCTATTAATTCCTTCTGGATCTATTTAAAGCATGTGATACATAATCAAATTTAAAAGTGCAACAAAAGTACAATTAAATTTTATACAATATTTAACTTAATTAAAAAATAAACCAAAAATAAAATAGCAAAGAATAATAAATAACAATAATAAATAATAATGATGATATTACAATCACAGTTGGAATGTAGAACCGATGGCATCCACCAATTCCATGTCAGACTCGTGTAACTCTAAAGCTTCTAGTATGTCCAACGGCGCCTCTTCGACTTTTGATGGTGAAAACATTGAAACCGAAGAAATAGATGGTGATGTCCCTGACGCAAATTTTCTATAACTGACCGCTTTGTAACATAGTATTCGTAGTTGGTCCTCTATGTATTCAAGGCACTGCGTAGAAAATTCCAAATTAATAAAGTTGATATGCATCAATGATGAAGGGGGGAACAATATTTCATTGGTCAATACATACCGACTCTGCCGGCATATTTGTCTTGGTGTATAACTCCGTACATTGGTGTAGCATGGTACGTATATATTTGGAGGAACGTATGGGAATAAAATATCTGTTACCGTTTCTTATGTGACCCCCTTGGACCGTGAACGAGGAGTCCCCGGCGTGAGGAATTTCACGGTCATAACCAAAAACGGTAACCTTGCTGGTATAAAAACAGATTTTGGATATTAAGTGTCAAGGTGTGCAACAGGGAATTCGAGTGATAATCTGATTTTGTATTTACTATTGATTTAGCTGTCCCAAAATGCAGAATGATCTTGAAACGGGGTCTTGCAATGAGAATGGCTGCACCTAAAATTTTTTAAAAAAAAGAAAGAAAAAGAAAAATACAAACCAATTTTTTTTCGTCAGTGCATAATGTTATTCAAGGCATTTTTTTTTTTTTTTTAGTGAAATTATGCTGACGCACCTGCAAAGACTCCTTTAGATCGGTCTCCAAGGAATCTTGAAAGTCGTACTTAGGAAGGCCCATTAGTACAAAATCAGGCATGTATGTATCACAATAGCCGACCATCAAAGATCTTCCGTATGATTTGACGAACAGCTGATCGGCACGATGCGGGGTTTCCGTAGGTGAGGACACACTTTCTTTACTCAATGATGGGTCAGGTATCATGATAGAGGGTTGTGATCTACGTTGAAATAAGTTAAGTTGATCAGTTTTCCAGATTCTCGTCGGTAAATTGCAGTTAAACATGAGTGATGCAAAATTATGCATCGTTTTCTTCAATCATACTTTGGCATCGGAACATCAAGAAAATTGTCGACGGAAATTTCGGTGAAAGGGGAATCAATTATTAAACTTCTTCTGTTCTCCGTGCTCGACTTTCTTTTGTAGAAATATGTCTCCGTTTGAGATTTATCTTCATTCACATTCCAACCCTTCGCTTGACCATCAGTTTCATTAAAACACGAGACTTCCGAGGCAGCTTGGGAAAGTGAATCTTTAGCTTCAGAATTTTGTGCAGACGTATTTCGTTGATTTCTTTCTGATTTTCCAAGTGACTTCTTGCGTCCCAAGTTCAGGCCATCAGATGGCGTCATGTCTTCGATGTTTTCATCTACCTCGTTGCACCGTATAAAGTAGCTTAACAAAAACAGAATGCGACGGACTGTATTCGCATCACTTCCGATAACGATGGTCCGACTCATTATTGATGAAGCGCCTATGCTACCATACAGATCACTTGAAAAAACAAAGGAACAAGTCAGGAATGGTTGCATCAAGAAAACCACCAATCAAGGGCGATTACCTTAATTGAGCCCACAACGGATCGTAAAACAGGTTTTTGCGAAACTATTCATGAGTTACGAATTAGATTGATAAACAGAAAAAACAACAATTTAAATCGATCGCAACTTGAACTAAAAAATGGTTACCCTTTCATCGAAATCGGCCATGGGGACTACTGTCGGAATCCACGCCAGATGAGACATTAGCACGCTACTAACAAGCGTGGAGATGAAACTGGTTGAAGAGGAAAGAAGAGGAAGAAAAGAAAAAGAGGAAATGAGTCAAGTAAAAAAAAAGAAAATTAAAAGACCGCACTTACAGGCCTTTCGGTAGCCGATTCTTCATGATGACAGATACATACTTAATACTTACAAATTTGTGCTACCGTCATCGAACTTTCCTAGCAGATAAGATAGCTCTTCTAACAAGCTCTTGGCGAGTACACTTCTCTTTTGCGGAAACGTTGAGATATTCAACCACAAAGGCTGTTTGCGCAAATTTAAGTTGATTGAAAATCAGTTGTTGATACTGTTCAACGCGCTTACCCTCGGCGAAGCGATGTTTCCCATGGTTTCTATGGTTAACGAACAAATCATTGATACCTGTATTCGCGGTGTGTTGTATAACTGGTGCACCGATTTCTTGAATCGGTTAACTTCTTCCAACAATGAAGGCTCTTGCTGTAAAGCGAATGTTGATAACGATGGCATCGAAATTCTACATCGACCTTGTGGACTAAAAATCTATGTGAAAGTGTTGTGTTGAAAAGTGACAGGATCAAATTTAATCACCGTGCGAACCAATATAATCTTGAAAGGCATACCGAATTGGGACCATTGATAGTCGCAGGATGGTGTGATTTCCTAAGCAGGTGACATAATATCTGAAGTGCATTTGATTGGAGTTGATGCAGCTTGTTTTCCAACAACGCGAAATGTGAGAAAATAAACTCCTCCAAAAGTTTATTATCTTCCAACGATATGACAATTCCCACGGCGTATATCAAGGAGCGAACTGGATGTTTCAAGTTCAGCTGATAAATAGGTACATGGAAGATGAATAAAATATGATATTTTCCGATATGTCAGTCACAGTCGTATTGCGTCTGAAAAGACTCACATTGCCATTAGAGTTATTAAATCGCGGTGAACTTCCGGGTAACGGGGTTGGATTGAAGATCCCGTTTTCAATGCTTGTCTGACTAAATCTCCGCATCCTTCGATTATTGAAGGTAGATGTCGAGAAGGACAATGGTGAAGTCAAAGTCAATGAGTTATTGCTGCTTCGCAGGTTGAGCGTTCGTGTTCCAGCGCTGAACGTCGATGGGGTGGATACGGTACGAAAGGGGTCATCTTCCCTCAATTCATATCGGTAGCCGGAGAATGTTAAATTTGTCACATGTTTCTCTGGTTTCGGAATGCCATTAATTGCCACGCTACTCGGAGCTGATGATGATGTATCACCGTTGGTGGATGAGAAGGAATTTCTCCGAGTAGAGGAATTCGTTTCCAAGTTTGAAGGATTTATCGAAAACAATTTTGTTAACAATATTTGAGGCTTTGGCGATTTTATGTAATGAATCTTCGTCGTCATCCCCTTATACGATAACGGAACAGTCCCAAACATCATTTCGCATATTAATTCAATATTATGTGCGACCTAGGTTTGATGCATGGAGCAAATTTAAGATCTATATTGCGCATAATTTTTCAGATACGTCGAATCACGGAACGATGGTTGAATGCTGTTCGTTGATAATTACCTTCCTCTGAGAAAAATGCGTCCCATTGTTTCGATTCACCGATGATGGGAGGGTCTTTACGCCTGATTTGTTCGAGGGATCGAGACTTCTTCGTCTGTTTTCCGTCTTATATTGGGCGTGAGTGCGATGATGCGAGTATGGACTTTTCGTCTGAGTGGAATTCACGGGCTTTGCGTTCTTATCGTTACCGCCCTTTTGTAAAAAGGCTCCACCGAGAAATTTCCAAGATGAGGCATCAGCATTCGAACTTTCAGGTGCATTTTGTGGCACGCAATCCGAATCAAATAAAGTGAGTTTCGCCTTGTCTCCCGTGTCTTGACAAAGAATGACCCTTATTTGATTTGTGTCAAAGGAAGGAGGAGACCAGCTGATAAAGGTCGGTGGAAATCATTTAAGATGATAGATAATTGAAGATGGTTAGCATTGGAAAGGAAAGGATTCATTTATTAGTAGTGTCAATTATCTAATTAGAATATCTGAGATTTGAATGAATCGACCAATTTGAAGTAAAATGGCATCGCTCTATCGTAACCCGATCGTCTAAAAACTGATTCACATGAAAAAGAGTATCCCGACACACATTCTATTAAAGAATTTCTCTCACGCAAAAACACATACAGGTCAATTTCCAATAATGCTCGTGTATGTTTTTCGTCTTCTATCTCTTTTGCGGGCCTCGAGCGGAACAGAGAAAACATATTTTCTTTATAGCTGTCTGAGTAGACGAAGAAGATATCTCCGTTTGGGGATTGATTTAATAATACATTTTTAAATTCGGTGTTCTTGTATTCTTGGATGGTTGAAGGTCAGCTGTTCAGTCTTGCTGCATAAATGGAACATTGACCATACACGCAAAGGACACGTGCTATAAATCGTTTATACATAGTTTTCTGTATATAGCATATCGATTCTATTTATATATTTGTGTTTGACAAAATTTCCTTAAAACCTTTTAATAAACATTATGATAAAATGTCTGACATTCCCCCGCTCAAGAATTGATTAAGTAAATTTTTAGACTTAAAATTATATTTAAATAACATTTTCGAGATGATCAAAATTCACGTGACTCTTGTCATATAATTAATGCGGATCACGTGAATTTTAGCATCCGAAATTTTTAAATATCCGTGGTTACGTGGTTACACCAAAGAAAATGTTTAAGTAAAGTGCAGGTCACACAAATTCCTACAGCGCCTTTAAAATGTTCGACCTGATATTAGCCTTCCTCGGCTTCTGGGTGGTGGTTCATGCTTTTTGCCATTTTATGCAACAAAGATTGCATTCGAAGGTATTTTGACGGCAATCTCCTTCATAGTTGTTCTTAGATTATCCTCTTGTCAACAATAAATTACGGAACCTCAGAAACACTTTCTAATAATATAATATATAACCAATTTTCGCTTCTTTACTCTCACAGCAACTACTGACAAATAATTTTTTTCGAAATACAACAAATGCTCCTATAACATTATATCAAACATCTTTTAGACCATCAAGTCATATTTCAAACCAACCCTTCAATGTGCGATTTAAAACCAACATACTAAACCCTCATTTCGAGTCACTTGCCAAACGAGCGCCCAAGTTTTGGAGGAGATGGTTTAACGTAGGAGCGTTTGTCGGATTGCTGGCCATGGTTGCTGGAATCGTTATAATGATGATAGCTGGCTGGAGGTTATTGGTCGGGTTTTTTGGTGTTGAGACCAACGATCCTCCGGTTTCAACGAAATTCGTAAAAAGGAGCTTTGAGGAAAATCACGATCATCCCGAAGACAAAGGCAATCAACAAATATTTGTTCCTGTCGTGCGTAGTCTATAGACCAATTTCATTCTTGACGCAACAACTTTTATAATTGATGATTTCTGTCTAACGGTGAGTTTTTTTTTTTTTTTTTTTAGATTCCGGGTGTTACGTTACCGATTTCGCATTTTGCGTATTATCTCATCGCACTGTTGATATGTGGGATGATTCATGAAGCGGGTCACGCGATCGCTGCCGAAACGTGAATAATTGGAAATTCTGCGAATTCTGAATTTTGCTACCACATTATAAAGATTAATATCATTGACATTCAAACCTTACCAGGGATGACTTCAAAATCAGATCCGCGGGAATATTCTTATACATTCTTTATCCGGGTGCATTCGTGGAATTTGACATAGATGCCTTGGAAGGACGCGATGATCGTCTTACAAAACTTCGTGTGATATGTGCAGGAGTCTGGCATAATGCGGTGACATTTCTATTAATTTATCTTATACTCAGCTCCGGATTTTTCGTTATTGCTCTGAGTTCTACTGCATGGAGGTCAGTTGATGGTAGTGGAGTTAGCGTTGTTTCGATCGAAGAGGTAAGTGGAATTAAAATTTGTCGCACATAATTCTTGTGAATATACTGTATATGTATTTATATTAATTCTATCACTACAGGATACCCCCTTGTTCGGTCACATAAAGCCTTCGATGCTCATAACAAAGTTGGACGACTTCGAATTGACCGAATCTCTGGAAAGTTGGAACAGTTACCTCTTGGAAAGATCCAAGATAAACCTTAATCCCACCGGATTTTGTGCCTCCAAAAAGGATATCATATCTTCATTGGATTGTTGTGAAATTTCGGGCGCTCATCCCTACGGAAATGAAAGAGACAAAAGCATTTCTTGCTTCAAGAGAATTGACAGAAACAAAGAGGTTTGATAGGATTTTATAGATTGTACTCGTATCACATAACACGCATTGCTTTTGCTAATATTGGCGTTTATTCTTTTTTTTTTTTTTTTTTTTCAAAGGAGAAGGTCTGTCTGAAAACCGTTCCAATTCTTGTTAATGTTAACGAACAACGGTGTCTCAGAGATGACGATTGCGTCCGAGAATCGCCCATATGTGTATTACCTTATACACCTGATGGGTTCCCGAAACCGCTAAGAATTTATTATAAAGACGTTCCATGGTCTGAAAAAGAAGACAAGGATCAAGAGAAGGTTTTGTTATTCCTTGGAGAGTTTGAGGATGTTTGGGAAATTGGTATGCAATTGTGCGATGCGAGTTACCTTTAAATCGCAATTTGTTGACTAATTTAAGTAAAAAATCGATGCAAAAATAAAAGTACAAGTTAGTGTTATTCAGCCCCGATGGTCATGGGTACCCATGTGGATTCCAGAGTCTCTAGAATTAGTATTGAGGTAAACCGTTTGGTAAATGGTCCTGATTTTAGTTTCCCTAATCTCAATCATCAATTTTTTTAAAAAATATAGATACACGATGTCATTCTCGTTAGCATTGTGCATTATAAACATATTACCCGCATTTCAGTTAGACGGCTATCATGCTTTGAAATCATTATTATCGTCGGGTCCAGACGTAAGTTCATCAACCAATAGTAAAACGAAAGAACGTGGAAATATTGAAAGGGGGATAAATTACTTTGTCACGGGTTTAGTAGGATGGGTAGTTATCGGAACTTTGCTCTCAGGAATATTTACACAATAACACACGTGGAAATTGTCATTGTATGCAAAATCCAAGAATCTGGAATTTAAATTCGAATCGAGTAGTCTATTGTCTCCACTTTCTTAACAAATTTATCTTTTTTTTTTTTTTTTTTTTTTTTTTTTTTTGAACATTATAATCCTTGATGAATCAATTCTCTTTTATTAATTACATCATTAAATGTAAATACGCATATCGAACCTTCAGTTATATGATGCAATAGAAAAATAAAATAAAAATGATTGACATCTTGCGACCTATGAGAACAATTCTTATATATTGCCTGACACATGACAATCATCTTTTTTCTCGCAAATTTTGTCACGCCACTGTTTTTCTTGCAAATTTCTGTCACTAAATCATGGGCGTACTCGACCTTGGAATTCCCACCGGCGTTATTACTGGCGATAATGTTCGCAAATTATTTAATTATGCGAAAGAGCAAGGTTTCGCTATTCCAGCGGTCAATGTCTCCTCCTCGTCAACAATTAATGCTGTCTTGGAAGCTGCTCGTGATATAAAAGCGCCGATTATTATCCAACTTTCCCAAGGTGGCTCTGCTTTTTATGCGGGTAAGGGTCTTAAAAATGATAACCAGGAAGCCAGTATTAAGGGTGCTGTCTCCGCTGCGCACCATATAAGGCTTTTGGCGAAAGACTACGGAGTGTAAGTTTTATTACAGCTTCTTCATATTGCGAATGTATTATAACTTTGAATTATTGTGATATGACTTCGTTCCTGCACAAAATCACGCCAACTCACAAAAATTAACATATTTCTTGAAACCGATATTATACCATTTAGTCCCGTTGTGTTGCATTCCGATCACTGTGCCGAAAAACTTTTGCCATGGTTCGATGGAATGTTAAAAGCAGATGAGGAATACTTCGCGCAGCACGGTGAACCTCTCTTCAGCTCTCATATGCTTGACCTCTCCGAGTTGCCAAAGGATGATAATATCAGAATTTGCGAAGAATATCTTAAACGTATGGCGAAGATCAATCTATTGCTTGAGATGGAGATTGGTATTACCGGTGGAGAGGAAGATGGTGTAGACAACACCAATGTTACTAATTCGTCTTTGTACACACAGCCCGAGGATATTTACGATGTGTATCGTAGGCTGAGACCAATTAGCGATCTGTTTACAATCGCTGCCGCTTTTGGTAATGTTCATGGCGTATATAAGCCAGGGAATGTAAAGTTAACTCCCGTGTTGCTCAAAAAACATCAGGAGTATGTTAAATCGCAAGTGAGCTGCGATACTGACAAACCCTTATGGCTCGTGTTTCACGGTGGCAGCGGTTCTGTCAAAGATGAGATCCGTGAAGCCGTTTCATATGGTGTGATCAAGATGAACGTCGACACGGATACTCAATGGGCTTACTGGGAAGGCATAAAGAATTTCTATGAGCGGAAGAAAGGCTACCTTCAATCTCAAGTCGGTAACCCTGAAGGCGAGGATAAACCAAACAAGAAATATTATGATCCCCGTGTGTTCATTCGTGAAGCTGAAAAATCAATGATTGAACGAGTCAAGGAAGCTTGCAGAGATTTAGGAAATGAGAATACTTTGTAGAAATCAGTCATTATATGTTGCTGTGTTAATTTGTAGATTTTCATAAGTGACTCTTATGAAAATCGATGATAATCGATAATACACTATTCTTCCATGTCTAAAATAAAATCTATTTTAACTTTACGATTAATTAAAAAATATAACGTGTGGCTTGTGCATTTATACAACATTATACACAGTAAATCTTGATATAACAGGTATTTAATATAATTGAAGTGCCAAAATAAATTTATTAATGAATTGCCATGTAATTGATTTTTATATTACGCAATAGATAATTTATTGACTATAATAATTAAAAAAATTTTTTAATTAATATTCAATTACAATAATGATAAAATTAAAAAAGTAATTAAAAAATTTATTTTATTTTATCTTTTTTTTTTTTTTTAACCCAAAATCATGTCATATGGCTTAATCTTTATTGAGAAGTTTATGCAACTATCTACAATTTTATAGATTTTTTATATAATAATCAACTTGTTATTGTATTAAGATATTTTAAGTCAGATTTAGAAAACAATGTTTCATTCTTTTAAAGGGTTAATATAAACCTCTATCTATTGGGTTCATCATCAATAATTTGTTACTGTAAATTATTCAAAAACTATGAATTTTAAGTTAAAAAGAAGAAAAAAAAAAAAGGAAAAGAAGATAATTCGAGGTTTCATCAAAAAAGTTAAAAAAAAGCAATTCTTTTTCAAAAGTGATCTGTCTAATTAAAATAATCTTCTTGTCTCTCTTGAACCTTGGAAGAAATCTTCTTTATTATTATTTGTAGTATTGAACAAGTCAATCCAATTAATTCTTTATTTAAATAAATATTGAATTAAGATATTTCAAGAAAAGTATTTGAACCAAAGATGAATCTCTAAAGTATTTAGCATATAAAATTTTGCAAATTACTTATATTCTTTTTTAAGAAACAAAATTCATAACTTTTCACTTTAATAGAAACAAAATTTAGAAAATATTATAAATAAAAAATTTTAATATTTTCTAATAAGAAACATTTAACTTTTGGTTTTATCTTTCTCTTTAAAAATTTATTTTTAATCCAGATTTCAACTTTTATTTATTATAGCTTTACTATTTTTTTTTTTTTAACTTGCAATCATATCACGATAGCTTGTTTTTATTAAAAAATTGAAGTAAATCTATAATATTTTATAGACTTTCACAAAGTAACTAACTCGTCTTTATACAAAAGTACTCTAAATCAAATTTTGGAACAATATTATACTCCCCTAATAGATTGGTAATAATCTCTATCTATCAGGATTATTACCAACAATTTGTTACTGTTGATTACTTGAAAACCAATAAATTGCTAAGTTAAAAAAGAGAAAGGAAAAAAATAATTGAGGAAAGGAAACAATTCAAGGTCTATTAAAAAATTTCAAAAATAAAAACAATCTTAAATATAGAAATAGAAAATAAAGAAGACACATTATACCATATCTTAAATAACTTAGAAAAGTTAAATGGTAGAATAGTTAGATTAGAGGATAGAATGGTTCCTAATAGACAAATAAGATATAGTAGAAGAGAGGCAAATCACTTTTAAAAAGGTGCACCAGTTGTCTAAGATAATAAGAGGGAAAACAAGTTCAGTTTATTCTTAGTAGAAATCAACAAAAAAAGTGTAACAGTGTACAATTAGATAATTTGGATCTAGAAAAATTCTTACAAAGTGAAAAATTGACTTTTTGAACAAAAAAGGAAAAGAAAAAGAAAAGCAAAATAATAATAAAGATAAAAAAAATAACATTAAAAAAAGAATAATAAGAAAAGGTACACATAATATAAGGGGTATCGCTAACATAACTAATCAACATAGTCTTATAGAAAACATAAGCGAGCAAGGCATAGAAATAATAGGATTATATAAGATTAAGCTAATACATAATAATGCAAAATGAGCTTTTAATAATAAAAAAAAATATAACCATTTCCATAGTACCAACAAAGATATCCCATATAGTGCAGGAGTAAGTTTACTAATAAGAAAAGATCTTGAAAAACAAGTAACATCAGTAGAAAAGACAGATGATTATATAATTGCTATCAATATGTTGACAAAGAAAAATAAAATTTGCATTATACAGATTTATATTCTATCAGATAGACATAGATATAAAAAAGTATAAAACAACTTAATAAGTTATATTAGAGGAAAACATGGGCAAGACTTTCACACAATTTTAATGGGTGACTTTAATACAGCATACAACCTATCAGAGGATAGAACATCCTCATCCAAGGCTTGTTTAGACTCTCATAGTGACCTGAAATTTCTCTATTTAACTTTCTTGATAAATGGGTTTTTTTAGATATATAGATAATATGTGAAAGGAAAAACAAAACTCCTACTAGGCAAGATATCATAAGCAGTAGCAGAATAGATTTTATTTGGATGTTACAAAGCTTGGCAAAATACACAATTCTATAATTTAACAATCAAGACATGAAAAAAATTATCAGAAGTGATCATACTATGCTTTTGATAATCCTATATAAACACTGCATAATATTCAAAATATGAAGAATTGATCTAAAAGAAATAACCTTAAATAATAACAAGCCTTTTGAGAAAGCCTGAACTATAAACTTAAAACTTCTTTGAAGTATATACTCAATAAGAAACCTAATAAAAATGAAAGAGAACTACTAGCAAATAAAATTTGGAAAACCTTCAAAGATCTAATTTATAGGGCAGCTTTTAACAAATTAAAAACCAAAAAACTAGTATCAAATAAGGAGAAATGATACAAATACAGTCCAGAATTTATGTGATATAGAAGAGCTTTTCAATTAAAAACAGTCTTTAAGAAAGCAAAAATATCAAAAGAACTAACAAAGGTGTAGAAGCTCAGTGTAGCTATTGAAAAACATAATGCTACCCATAATTCACATTATCAGATAAAAAACTATTGCATCCAATACAACATCTCTAATATTCCTTGAATATCCTTGAAAAAAGATATTAAAGATGCAATAGAAGGGCTCAAGTTTATAAGTCAAAACTTAGAAGCCAAAAAAGTAAGAGAGGAGATCAAATCAGCTTTA